GGCACAGAGCCCTGCTCGGGGAGTCCGGTGCCTCCACGGGTGAGCAAGTTTGGATATTCCCACGTAACGCCAGCAAAGATGGGATTTTTAGCAAAAGGGAGTTTGCGCTCCCAAGCGAGGAGCTGTCAGAAGTCCATTCGTCTGGGAAGTGTTGGCTTGCTGTGTGCCAGCACACCGGACAAACCTGCCCGGGGATGAGGAGAGCTCAAACGCAAGCTGTGGTGTGCCGGCCTGCCGCCCCATCGCTGGCAGAGGGCGAGGCAGACGCTACTGACCACAGCAGGGCGTTTGGGGAGACAAAAAGGATAGCTGTCCTCCTGTAACGTGCTTGAAAAGTCCTGTTCTGCACTGCCCCTGCCTCAAAGTTCATGGTCACTTACAACGAAAGTTAAATAACAAAACAGATGGTGTTCTTTTTCTTGATACACAGGTTGAACGCTTATGTTTTGATTGGCAAAAACAAATTGGCAGAGCTCTCTGAGCGCTAAGTTGCAGGTAGAGAGTTACAGCTCTTGAATATATTGTTAAACACTCAATTAGGAGCCCTAAGGTTCTGAAGTTAGGCGTCCTTCTTCTTAACGCTGCGTCATTCTCCCGTCTCTAAAAATGGGGATAATGATGCACACTGAAGGAGACAATGTTGGGAGAAGAGAAAGAGGCAAGATCACCGTTTGCCTCAAATTAAGGTACGGACAACAGCAGTGCAATAGGCTACCTTACAGTTGCAGGAAAAGCCTGAATTTAACTATAGAAAATTTCCTTTTCCAGTTGGAATTCTCTGAAATCTTTCTCCTGTCCAGTACAATCTAGTAAATAGAAACTCTGTCAGTATTTACATGAAAGTATGTTCAGTCCAACCTCAATAAACCTTTAATGCAGGACTTGGCAGCTGAGCTGGGGATGCCCAAGGCAGCACACAAGCAGATGGTGAATCGATAGCAGGGTCTGTGGGTGCTGCTGAAGCAAGCAGTGGTCGTTCTTCCCCTTCCCTAATTAATAAATTTCATAAACATATGAATAAAGCCAACATTTTGCATCGACCTGATACACAGGTATATACACTGCAGATTTCTCAAAATATATTTCTTTGTATTCCTGTGTTTTGCCCAGTCCTGATGCATTTCAGAAACCAATTAAAGACAACACTAAAGGAAGCAGGACATTCTTTTAAGTTGGTATCAAATTCAGCCCAAGTCTCGAGAATGAAAACTGTCTCTGTAGGCCGATCTGCAAACTCAGCGAAATGACTTGGTTTTCCTCTTTAACCAAAGCTGACCTCAGATAACATCTCACATCCTCTTAGTGGTACAAAACTGCAAAGGGCAGAACTGAGCACAGAAAGACCCATCCTCCTGCTCACAGAGCCACCTCCAGCTCCCCGGAGTTGAGGCATACTAGGAGGAGGGATGGATACTGATGTCACCACAGCTTGTCTTACAGATGGCAAAGGAATAACCTGCCATCAGAGTCTCTCCGTACTTTTGTCAAAAGCACAGATGATAGTTCCTAGTTTGTTTTAAAGTGAGCTCTGAGAGCTACTTGAAATTTTCTGTTTCTCTAATCATCTAAGCTTGGTAGAAGCACTGTTGTAGCCTACTTCAGTAAGCAAGCAGAGGTTGCTAACTACTGTGTCAGAACTGCTGCTGTTCCTGTGTTAAAGGTATAAGGAGGAAGTGATTTGGGGGTTTCACACAGAAAGCGATGCACTGATACACCACTATTCACTGTGCTTGGAGTATAATTTTGCCTTAAAAAAAACCTCACAAGTCAGAATACTTAACTGCAGTGATGATTCACCTACCCATAAAAAAAAAAAACAACAGATTAAGATGTAAGCTGCTTTTTAGCATCATTCGCTGAATAGAGCTGGTGAGAAAGCTCAGGATGGGCGTGTGGCATGTGGGGAACTTACTGCAATCTAGGAGGAGAAACATGACAATCACCTGCACTGTATGATTCCAGTTAAACAGCTGCTCACGTGTTTCTCTGATAATTGAGAACTCATTCTCTGGTTCCTGCTTTAAGTACCTAGCCTCTTCTTTCTTCAGGCTAAGTTTCAGTGCAGGAAGATACTGGCCCTGCATGTATAGAAGACCAGGTCACAGTGTTTCTTAAGGAGTCTTATGGATTTTATTTGGATGCACTGCAGTCACTCAGACTTTGGAACAGAATTTAGTTCATAAGCGAGTGTCTCTGTGCTGCATGCAAGAAGCTTAAAACAAAACCAAACCCAAAACGCAAGAAACGTTATTTGTTATTTTTAGTGCCTAGTTAAGTACTTCTGCAGCAGATAGCTGGCCTTTTCTGATAGGCAACAGGGAAATACCTAGAGTTGGTTACAATTCCACCTTTACGTCTCACCGGTATTACAGCTTTTGCATTCACTTTACATACTGTTGCATCAGTCACTTCTAAACACTGTTTTTGATTTCATATAAGAGGTAAATTCTGACTAAAAAGCCAAGAGAGTGCTTTATACACATTTGAAGTACTACTGCCTACAGTCAGACTGCATTTGTAAAAGTTGTTTGTCTGATACCTTCAAGTCAAGGGACTACACTGTAAAACAGAAGACACTGGCCCAGACAGCACTACTGAATGATCCATTTTAAGTCCATGAAGTAAACCTTATTGTCACTGCTAAGTGACATATTTCTTCCAAAGGTAAATCTACCTGTGAGAACCTCCCAAAGAACTAGCTGGCAGCAATTTACAGTCGTGGGTGTTTTTCGGAGTTCTGAAGTGCTGCGCAGCCGCTGCAACAGATGTGAGATTGACTGACTGCTGGGAAGAGTTCAGCACAGAGCAATCTGTCACTTAGCTATCTGTCACTTAGCTGTGGTCACCGAACGAGTCTTTGCCAAAAGTGGTGGGAAATGATGCTTGTCATGGACTGGGTAGGCTCAACTCCTACATCTTCATTCCAGTGGTCTCATTACATTTACTGCCAAATTTTTTTGGTACTACAGTGACTTCATGCTGTAATTTTACTTCTTTCTTGTAGTTCTGAAGACTCTTTTCATCATGAGCTCTTTTGAAGAAGCTGAAACTGAAGAAACAGTAACATGTCTCCACATGACCTTTTACCATCCTTGCCAAGAAGACAAGATGATGTTTCGTTGCTTGAATTTCTGTAAGCGAGAACAGGTCAGGGCAGACGAAATGGCCAAGTTTGGCCGCGATTCTAGTGTCTGCCGTTATAACTTAATGGATACTCGTGTTTCTCGGATTCAGTTTTCATTGCAGTTTTACAGAAAACTGAACAGCTCAGAATTTTGTTTTGAGATAAAGAACATGAGCAAGAAAACAAAACTGACTGTGGACCAAACAGAACTGGGTTACTTAAACAAAATTGACCTGCCATGGAAGTGCATCATTTGCTTTGGGGACTACCAGATTTTAGCAGAGATTCAAGAAGGGGAGTCCATGGATTATTTTGAGACTTACTTACACTTGGCTGAAGTGCCAATCTTACAAGAAAGATGCCTGCCATCACTGCAGCCTATACCAGAGAAGGCCATTTCTTCTTCCTTGTTTCCTTCCCAAGGCAAAAGCCCCATAGAGATTGACGAAAATGAGTCGTGCTAGCAAGGAGAAGGAGGCTGGATCAGATTTTGATCATTTGAAACCTGCACAACTTCTGAAATTGAAGGCTCTCTTCTCAGTCCACTGTTGTTGATGGTTCTCACTGCCTCACATCAGTCTTCTTGTTTACAGCATAGGCATAGCAGAATACACTTTGTTCAACAGAAACAGGTTCCTGCCAGTGTCTTCACCAGGGCAGACGTGCTCTCTGATCACCACAGTTTGCCACAAACGTGTGGGAGACAGAGGGCCGCTCAAATCCATCGCACCAGATTCAAATCAAGAACTCTGACTACATGCCTTGAAGGTATATTGAACAGGTATTAACATACAGCATCCAGAACAGTGTTTTAGCCCCAGCACTGGTTAGCTAAGTAGGGACATCATGTCTTGCAGCATCTGTTATACTTTGTGCTTTGCTTTTGACATGAAATTCCAAACAGTATTTTCAAGCCTAGGCTGTAACTTCCCATATTTTGCAGCTTAGAAACGCTTTGTCAGCATAGTGCTTTAAAGTTAATCTTTTTATTAACTTTGCAGTGAGATTTTTCCTTCTATTTTTAAAATGAATTAAGGTATGTATTTTTTGCAAGCTAACTACTTTTGTTTGTGAATGTAAATAAACATGCAGTGTCTGTGATCATGGTATGTAAAAATTCAGATAAATTTTGTAATAAAAACATTTGGTTGCCTAGTAAGGATTTGCTGTCTTCTACAACTACGATCTAAAAGCACTTATGGTGAATAAAATTATTCCCAGGACAATTCAGATAAGAAGTTTTTACTGGCAGTACTCTGGGCTTTCTAAAAGTGGCATGGCTCCACGATAAAAGTTGACTAAAATACTTTCAGCACGTTTTCTACCTCCACCCCTCCCCTCCAAGCTCTCCTACAATTTTGTTTTCATGTATTTGTCAGGTTGTTTTGATGTCAACAGAATACCCTTAAAAGTTACAAAGTGAGCAATCATGCAGGTCTGTGCTGAAAACATGGGAAGTATCTAACCTTGAACAGCAGCATGGAAAGCCCCAAGATAAAGACAGCTGTGAATTTCTGTTTTACGGTTTTATGGTTACTGACTTAGATACTTCCAGGAATTTGGAATAAAGCTCAGATAAGAATGTATCCTCAACTAACTGTAGGTAATTATAGTACTAAAAATCACACCCCTTTGTGAATAATCAGTATGCTGATCAAAACCCCTCCCAAAATGCATAAAACATTAAGCTTGCACAATCTCAGATGCATATGTATAATGCAGGTTGCTACGGAAATTGCGTTTTACCAATCAGCTATAACCTATAGTTATAAATGTTGAACGCTCAGTGGTACGGGTGTGCTGGCTGGTGTTAAATGCCCGGCACCTGATTCTGCAGAACTGAAAGACAAATATCACGACTCAGCGTGTTGATTGGCATTTTGCACACATTGTTGTCCTCGATTTAGGGACAACAGTTTCAGTCAAGTTTCTCTTTGCTAGGGGCTCATCTTTGCATTGGCACTTGTTTTTGGCAAGTATTTTAATTTGCTTGGAATACACACTGGAAAGAATCAGAGCATACCTAAAAGTTACCCATCTTATCCCTAAATATTAGAATGCATTTCAGTATTAATCATTACAAGAAAACCAGATTTCTAACTGAGGAGCCGACAGCTGAATTACACAACATAACCCGAGATTAAGGCAAACAACCACAAGCGAGAGAGAAAGTCACGGGAGAGGCAATGAAACTCAAAGGCTTAGGTAGGATTTCATTTGTCTGTTGATCTCATCCTTGCCAAAAATGCCTTGTTCCCATGTTTTCTACTCTTTGAACTAGGCTCTGGTACTTAACTTTTACAGTCTTCGGCTTAGATGTGCAATTTGGCTGCCATCTTGGCGCAAATGCCTCCATCACACACCCAGCCCTCCGCCTCACAGAACAACCCTGAGCAGGGATCACCGTGTCACCGCACACCGTGCTACTGGCTGTAGATTTCCAGTAGTTGTTGGCTGCTCGGCTTTTAGATGCTTTTGATCCGAGTCTTCCTGCTCTTTAATTAGACAGAGTGGTTAATACCTGCAATTGCAGGCTGTCTAGAAAAAGAGAGCAAGATGCAAATATAATCTGAAACAAGCTCTTACATATAAAGTTTTTTACATGAAATCAACTTCTTATATTAAATGCATGGGATTTCTTACGTTCACTAATTTGGCTTGTGTGTGAGGGAATGTTAGTTTTGCCTTCCCAGTAAACAGCTCTCTTCCTATTAGTGCTTTTAAATTATTATGGATGACATGCAAATTCTTGTTTTGTACTGCTTTGGGGTTAAAAACCAGGTTGCTAATACTACCACTAAGCAGTATTTTTATCCAATTTCCTTTCACTGGCCCTGTCATGTAGGACATTAACCTATGGCACTGATCATATTAGTTGTTTATGCTTTCTGGGCTATTATCTAAAGAAAAAGTGACAACCCCAATCTCAAGTTTTCACGTGCAAAACAAACAGAAACATCTACAACAAGTACTTACCCAAGAAAAATCTTCCATCTGGTCTGCAGAGTTCAGAGTGCTGCATCTCAGTAGATTCTGTATTCACTCGATACAGAGGGGCTCTATGGATATCCACAGATCTGGAGCAGAGCATTCCTATGGCACATCTCCCGGAACCAGGAAAAAACACCACAACAATTTAATGGTTTCCAAATACTAATCGTTTCTACAACTATATGTACCTTGGGTAAGAATGAACCCCAAAATATGCATTAAAAAATGAATCCTCTCCTAGCAGGATCCCATCACTATGTTGATTTGACCAGCAGAAGTTAGCTTGACTGAAGAAGAGTTGTTCCAGTATAGGCATACCACAATGTTACTTTGCTCACCAGAAACAGATTCTGCTTCTGTGTCCCCCCACTGCGAGGCTGCCATTAGTCACATACTGCTAACTCAATTGTGAGAAATACTACATACACAAAGGCAGCTAACATTTTCTGTAAGTTTTTGCTTGGCTCTGCCGCCTTAGTAGTCACAATCGTAGGATACTAAAAGACAATGCTGAAACATGTAACATTTTGTGCTTAACCAACTCTGAACAGACTGCCCAAACAGTCACATCAAGTGATTTTATATTCGACAATCGCTCAACTTTAGCCTAGAAACATACGTATAACAGGCAGGTAATCAGTTTAGTAAAACACTTCCCTGGAATTAATAAGTTTCCTGTTAAAAACACTGTCTTTCCTATATACAGGCACAGTTGGCCAAGTCAACCCAAATGGTGTGCTAACTCAGACAGACGTGAAGACAAGGAAGCTGCTTGCATTACAGAAGGAAGGGTACCTTACCTTTGAAGTATCGGGGTACAGCTGCTCGTTTCTGATAGAAGAAGGGTTGGCTCCGTGCGCCAAGCTCCTCAAGTTCTCTGTTACCACAGCTCATTAGAACTTCCCTTCCAAAGCAACAGGTCTCAAGAAGGGATGCTATGGAATTCAGTAGTTAAAGACACAGTTAATTATTTATGAAAACCTTCCTTAGTTAGCTGACGCATAGGTAATTTGGGGTAATGTTTTTAACAATCCATATTCACATGCTGCTTTCACTCTGTATGACATGGCAGCCACAAAACCCAGCAACAGATAAAACATTGCTGAACGTTAAGACTGACTGAAAATTTTAATGACTTTTAAATTTGTACAGATTTGCGTTTTACAGTACTGTTGAATTGTTTCACATGAGCTGTTTATATAACCTTTCGATTTCTTACATTTCCACAAATATTGACCATCATTTCTTACATCACTCAGTGTGGTGCACTGAGCTCTGAAAAGCAGAGTGCGGTTAACCATGGCTACAGAACTTGCCCATCACAGTAAAAGCCTTCCGCTGGAGTCAGCTTTCTTTTTCCCAAGTGCACGTTCATCCTACAAGCAGAACTGTCAGCTAGTTCCTCAAAGCACGGTCAGGACAAGTTAACCTCATTTTCACTGGTCAGGAAAAGTAGTGACCACTGCAGGGTAAGTTACAGTTTCAGCAGGTAAAAAAACGTGTTATCTACATGCTGAGAAAGTCGCCTTCGTTTCCATAGGAATATATTATACAAATAAATGTTCAGGAGAAGTTACATAGTAGTAGCTTACGCCAAACCAAAAATATACATTTGATGTGTACAAATTTTTAAAGCTTATTACAGGCATTGCAAATGTAGGTAATAACATTATTTTCAATGACACAGCTACAATTTAAATTAAGAAATGGAATGTTATCAACAAGACTTATCTGTTCATTAGTGTTGATATTTGTACATATTTAATCCAAGTGTGCAGTACTTTTGTTCAAGTTATTATGAAGAGGACCACACCGTAGTGGCCCTAATATTAAATATAGGCTCAGATGATCTAAAACAGCGACACAACTTTCACTGACAAATTCAGTTCTTCTGGTGATGCAGATTTACTACTTAACGCAGCGTGTTGCTGTTACTCCACAATGGTGAAGTTACACCCTGTCTCCCTTTTGTCAGGGGAAAACAAAGGCAGCTACACAAAATAACAGTAGAGTAGAATGGCTTTACTGAAACTTTGGGAAAAGCTTGAGATCTACAAGTGTTTTGCACTTTCTCTTCAATGAGCTTTTTCTTTTTTTAAAAAGTGTAACTTACATTAAATATTGGGGGAGATGACACAATACATTACACCAGATTTGCAGTAACTGAACACCTCCTTGAATTTCAGTCCGTATTAGCAGTATTAACCATCCAGTTTAGAGGCACAGAAAAGCTAGAGCACTTAAACACACTGTTCTGTCACTTGAACATTTTTTTTTTTTCTTTTTAAAATGCAGATATAGGAATTCAGTCTTTAGGTTCTTGTTCTTCCCACCCCAGCAGCAGAGCAATCATCCCTCCCCCAGTTTGCTCAGAGAACGTTACTTTTCAGTAATTGTTCCAGTCGAGCTGAATTAGAAGTTTTCCACAACTAAAGAATTTTAAGGACCGTGTAGTAACAGATGCTGGTCTGCT